GCACGTGTCTCCGCACGTGCAGTCACACCCTCTGTTTTTTATTTATTTACGCGGTGTACCCCTTTGCTACTGCCTGCTCATGCAAGCCTGCAACAAACAAAGAGAGTCCCCATCATATATCGCGGGAAAACAGCAACTAAGAATTAATTCTGCAAATTAAAATCAGTAATATATACTTCAACAAAACACCTGCATACAAATCTCCTTGAAAACACTTGATAAAACTAATCTGCTCGTATCAAGCAACCAAAAGACAGCGCACATTAAATTAAGAGAGATTACTCGAAGCAACGGAACCGGAGGCTGGTGGGTATAACACTGGTCCGAACCCCACACTTCCGGGCGAGCCCAGACGCCCGGCGGCCGTCTATCCTCCCCACCTCCGCCATCATCGCCCTCAGGCAATCGCACACGCCTCTCTTCCCCATCGAGGTCATCGACGAGAGCTCCTCGACGGACTTCACCGCCGCGCAACAGCTCGACGAGACCGGCCCGCGCTCGTCGCCCATGACGTACGGCACGCACATCCCGAACGCCGTCTGCGCCACACCGCAGTCTGTCTTCGTGTGGCTCTCGACCGCTCTGATCGCGGCCAGAACGGATAACATGACTATCAACATCCGTATGAAACCAGACATGACTGGGAGAGAGTGAGATACCTGCTACTGCTACTGAAATTATGCGCGTGTTAATGTTATATATGGGGGGGACCCCCCGTGATCACTCGATGGTTCTCTGAAGATAGACATGAGCTGAAGTAAAGCCAAACAAAGGCATCTCTGTCAACTTGACATCTATGGTTCTCTGAAGATAGACATGAGCTGAAGTAAAGCCAAACAAAGGCATCTCTGTCAACTTGACATCTGGGTTCATGTCACCCATCGGCACTCAATTTGGCTAAGTTAAATAATGGGCACAATATATGATGTATCATAAAAATCTAGGCGCTAGGGCTTTTTCTTTATTGAGGTTGGCAATAATAGCTGCCATTAAAAGCTTAACAGGGGTAAGGCTCGTACTGGTCTATGACACCATCAGTTTCCTTTAGGGTTAATTGCCAACAGAACCCTCTTAGTATCATTTTATTGTGACCAAACCTCTTATAGTTGTACCTATTGTGATGAGTAGACCCCTGAGTGCTTTTTTTTAAAAAAAAACTTTTTTGAAGAGGCTGATAGACCACCTATAATTCTATCGATGAGGATAAACACCCAATTGCTTTTTTTTTTTACTTTTCAAAAGTTAAAAAAGTTCACTAAGTAGGTATATTCACACTTGGCATAATATTATAGGGGGTTTACTCATAATAAGTAGAATTATAAGGAGTCTATTCACAATAAATAGAATTACAAAAAAAAATCTCTTTGCAATTGAGGGTCACTACCAAGAGTTTGTTCGCAATAACCCTTACTTTTATTTAAGAAGTTCTTAGTTTCACCAGCTGTGCGCTTTGATATTGACTACTACTCTTTTGTATATTCACCTACTAAACCAAGATATTATAGTTATGCTTATCCCTTCAAAAGATATAATTATCATTAGTCTGTTGGTGCTACCAATTAGAGCAACAGGTTAGCACGAAAACAATAATAGAGTTGGAATCAACTTCGATGTTTTCTGACACATAAGGATTACAGTTCAAGATGACAGCAATGTTGGAATGAGGTGTAGATCAAACCTCGATTCCGACGAGGAGCTCCGGCGAGCTCGAGGGATGGCGCAGGCGAGCGTGGACGTCGACTCAGGTGAAGTCGACGGCGAACTCCAGGCGCAGTTCCAGGTGAAGCTCGAGCAGGCGAGCTCGAATTTGGCGTTTCTGACCCTCGCATTTGGGATACCGACCCACGCGTTTTGGAGCTCCGACGATCGCGTCTTGGCGCTCCGACCCTCGCGTCAAGCAAGATATAATTATCATTAGTCTGTTGGTGCTACCAATTAGAGCAACAGGTTAGCACGAAAACAATAATAGAGTTGGAATCAACTTCGATGTTTTCTGACACATAAGGATTACAGTTCAAGATGACAGCAATGTTGGAATGAGGTGTAGATCAAACCTCGATTCCGACGAGGAGCTCCGGCGAGCTCGAGGGATGGCGTAGGCGAGCGTGGACGTCGACTCAGGTGAAGTCGACGGCGAACTCCAGGCGCAGTTCCAGGTGAAGCTCGAGCAGGCGAGCTCGAATTTGGCGTTTCTGACCCTCGCATTTGGGATACCGACCCACGCGTTTTGGAGCTCCGACGATCGCATCTTGGCGCTCCGACCCTCGCGTCAAGCTTGGGCGCTCGCGTGGCTGGCGACAGGCTGTCGCCAGCCTGTCATGTTTCGCCTATAAAAGCAAACCCCGATGCCCTAGCCATGGTGCTTCTCTCCCCCGATCTCTCTCTGGCGACGGACAAAAAAACGCAGCAGCGTTCCCATCTCCAGCTCTCAACTGTTCTTTTGAGGGGAGATTAAAAAAAGGATTTAAGAAGAGAGAGGAATTTAAAGGGGATTTATATTGTGGAATATTCTTTATTCTCAAAAGAGAATTGAAAGGGATTATTCCCTTTAATTATTAACACTGTTGCTACAGTGTTCATTTTGAGAAATCTCAGTTTTAAGATCTGCTCTTGAATTGTAATTTCTTGTTTGATTAATAAGAAATTTACTGTGTGGCTCCCGAGGACGTAGGCAGTTGCCGAACCTCGTAAATCTTGTGTACTTTTCTCTATACCGTATTTCTGCTGTTTTAGGGGTTTTGCATAGCCCCAGCGGGTAGTATTCCCAACAAACAATAAACACAAATAAGTTTTTATTAAATAAAATAAATATATAAGAACCACAATCTACTGGTATAATTACGGAGCTCACATAGGTTATAAAGAAATGTTAGGGGCACACCTCAAGTCACACTTCCAACCACACCTCCCCTTCTCATTCGCTACAGTACTCCGGGCCCCACATGAGTTTTTAAAATTTAAAAACTCATGTGGGGCCCGGAGTACTGTAACGAATGAGAGGAGATGTGTGGTTGGAGGTGTGGTTTGGGGTGTGCCCCTAACACCACTCTAGGTTATACTATGAGGAGTCAATAAATTCCAGTACTAGAAAAGAAATTATGTGATATCATGAATTCGAAATAAGGACTCCATAATCTGGGTATAAGTATCAAATTTAACGGAGCACAAGTAAAAGATTAGAAATACAACTGCTAACATACTACTTTAGCTTATAAAGTGACACCCACTAACCGATATGGTCTAAAAAATGACACCAGCGATAATAGCATATATAAATTGATACACTTAACCATCTACACCTCCTCTGGTCATCAAAAAGTTTTGATTTGAGCGGGAAAATTATGGATTTTGGCACATACACCCCCCATATTACTTACATTTACTGATTTGCCCTTTAAAATTAAAAATATTTATAAAAAAATCATTTTAAAATCATTTTTTTATACTCCCCCCACCCCACCCAAATAATAATAATAATAATAATAACCCAAACAAATATCTCTCCCTATCATCTCCTTCATCCTCTTCTTCTTCCCTCTCATAAACTCCACTTTCACTCCTTCCCAAAATTACTCCCTCTCCCCTTTCTTATACACACGCGCGCGCACCATCAGCTTCATCCTCCTCTTCTCCTCTCTCTTATTCCCTCTTCCCTTTTCTCCTTTCCAAAATCCTCATCCTCACCTCCTCCTCTCCATCCTTGTCCATACATGTTTCTCCGCTCAACTTTTCCCTGTTCTCTCATCTCAGTCTTCTTTCCCATTCCCTCCTCTCATTTCCTCTCTCCCCTCTCCCCTCAAACATTAACTAAAAGTGGAGAAGGGAGTGGAGGAAGGGAAGGAGGGGAGTGAGGAGAGAGAGGTTGAGAAGAAAGAAAGAGTAGAGTTTTTATGCAAATATTTCAATTTGAATGTTAAATTTATAAATGAGAGATATGAGGAGTATATATGCAAAACTTCACAATTTTCTCGCTCAAATCAAAACTCTAGCAGCTAGAGTAGGTGTAAACGGTAAGATATGTCAATTTATAGGTGTTATTATCGCCGGCGTCACTTTTGTAGGCTTCATTGGTTAGACGGTATCGCTTTATAAGCTAAATTGGTATTTTAGCCGAAATACAACTATCTGAATGATAAAAGTGAAATGACATGAAAGGGATTAGAAGAAATTTTCTAAACAAGCCCGTTCATAATTTTTTTTCTAAAAATAGACCCATTTGAGTTTTTCTGTCTAAAAATAGACCCATTTGAGTTTTTCTTACAAAAATCGACCTATTTTGTCTTAATCAAGTTTCTAAATAGTCGGGGTTACCAACCCCGACTATTTAGTGCATAGAATGTTAGGGTTTAGGGTTATAATTGGGGGTTTACACCCTCCTAAATAGTCGGGGTTAACAACCTTGACTATTTATGAACCAGATTAAGATAAAATGAGTCTATTTTTTGGGGTTGGCAACATTGACTATTTAGGAACCGGATTAAGACAAAATGAGTCTATTTTTGTAAATAAAACTCAAGGGGGTCTATTTTTAGAAAAAAATATGAGTGGATTTATTTAGAAAATTTCTTCAAGGGATTATCATCTACCAACATATAGGGATTATTGCTGAGCATCTACCAACGTGTATTGTACAAATAACAGCAAATCTTCGTTATCGACATACAAGCATCCCTAATAATCGAGGATAAAGATACTTATTGATTCTTCTGGAATTGGATCACTGCTGCAGCCACCACAAAAGGACTCCTGGAAGTGTATGAAAGATCAAAACTCCATGTAGTCTGCGAAACCATAACAAATGAAAATAAAAAACCATAAAAATGAAAAGAAGAAACAATAGGCACTTGTTATTAAACAAAAGACGGAACATTAAAAATATTATTAAACAAAAGATGGAACATTAAAATTAAAACCATGTGCAATAGAATCTCCTTGTTCCCCCACATAGGAGAGGAACAAATTTTTACATAAGCCCATAAGGTATTAAAATGCACAAGCAATTGCAAGTTTTGATTGTGGACTGGCAGAATGATCATCCCCTGCAGCAACATGGGACTAGTAACAAAGACGTATTGCGGTTGAAAAAATTGAACAACTGCATCACAGATAAACTAAACCATTCCATAACCTTGATTTCCAAGTTGCGTGACTTGAATTATGCAATGAGAATACTCCAGCGATTGCATACCGATAACCATGAACCATTCATCAAAGTATTCCATGTAGGCCTCATCTATTAGTAGCGCCACAGAAAGTGTTTCATATTCATCTAAAACCTCGATCCATGTTACTCATGATTCTCTGCTTTTAACATAACCCTAAAATAGTTGATACAAATGTGGACACCCTTCATAACCATAAAGCTGTACACTGTCATTGTTCACGCAAACTTTCCGACCTTCCTAACTCACATATCCAGCCAAGCTACACTATACCTTGCTAATTTTATTGATACTCACAGTTGTGCCCTTACAATATGCTTCATAAATTGAGAAAGACAGTTACCAGGATAACTGAAGTACGCCAGGTCGAAAGTCAAGGATATTTCTAGTACAGTTTAATAGGAACATCACACGAATGCTTAAGAACATATATCTGAGAAGAAACAAAATTTCCATGGAGCACAAACTAATACTCATAGCAAGAATTACATATTCCACATATAGATCATTAATCAATATAGTACAATTCATAAATGAATTTCCTACGGAAGCAATTTGCGATTGTTCGATTGCTTAAGCTATTACAGCTGTTACTGTATAATGATTATTTAATCTAATGTATCCTAAAC